GGGCAAACACGCGCTACCCCGAGATGCGACGTGCACAACCGGATGCAAGCAATATGGTTCCGAGCGGCCGACCGCCTGATAGCTCTCGACCGACCAATAGAGCGTGACCACCGGGAGCAGAAGTCAAGCACTTGTCGCTCGAGGAGATGAGGCGCCGGCGTGAGAAGGGGCTTTGCTATAAGTGCGAAGAAAGGTTTACACCGGGCCACCGATGCAAGCAAGCCTTTGTGACAGAAGTCGTCGACATTGACGAAGAAGAACCCGTGATCGATGAGCACGAAGAGAACGAGACCAAAGTCGCGGTGCTCGAGGAAGACGCCGAGATCTCAATGCATGCGAAGGCTGGTACACGAGGACCGAGGACGATGCGGCTGTCGGCGTTGGTCAAGGACCATCGTGTAGTCGTGCTTGTAGACAACGGATCCTCACACAACTTCATCAACGCAATGCTATCTCAAAAGTTGAAGTTGCCAACAAAGAGGGTCAAACCATTTGAAGTCCGAGTAGCCAATGGAGAACGGCTAACGTGCTTGAAGGCTTATCGTGCGGTGTCGATCAAATTTCAAGGAGTCACCATCAAAGTCGATCTCTATGCGCTACCCTTGGTTGGACCCGACGTTGTGCTAGGAGTACAATGGCTCGAAGGTTTAGGAAAGGTGACGACCGACTACCGAACTGGGATCATGGAGTTCCAATCTGGAGATCAGCGGGTCACTCTAAAGGCAAGCAAGGACGGTATGACCAAGCAGGTTGGTCTCAAGAGTATAGAGCGGGTTTGGCGTGTGAGCGGCCAGATCTTCATCGTCGAGGAGGCAGGCACGGACGAGTACAAGGATCCCCCTTTGTTCGACGAATACTTCGGAGAGGTCGAGCAAGTCTCGACAGATTATGATGGCCCACCTATCTTCGACGTATACCCCGAAGATGAACTCATGGACGTCGAAGTAATTGAAGAAGCTGAGGTCGAGGTAACTAAGGTCGAAGGCAAGGTGCACGAGGTTTTGGACGATCGAGCAGCAATCCGAGATACGCGAGTTGGTTAGAGCAACCGACCGCGTACTAAGCAAGTCCGACAAAGAAGAAGGTAGGATCGATGAAAAGTGTAAGGAGCCTTTCCTTCCATTTGAATTCTCAAAATATTTTAAGGATCTAAGGCCCATCGAGTACGTGAATGAGTCGATGGATTATGAAGGACCTCCTATCTTTGATGTATACCCCGATGAACACTTTGTCGAGGTCGAAAGAATTTAGGTCGAGTCCAAGAAAGCCGAAGTGATCGGAGTAAAGGATGAGATTTGGGTTGTGATTGAAGAGGACCGCGGTAAAGATACGCATGTTACGAACGAGGTGAGGACGCCCCAATTCATGGTCGATGATGAGTCCTTAAGGACAAGGATATTCTTAAAGGGGGCAGGAATGATACAAAAGTGGGTATCGACCCTCGATGATGAGAAAGGCCGAGGGCCGAGGCTAATGGACAAGGCCAAGCAAAGGGCGCAAACAAGGCCTGCATGGCCTAGGAGACGTGCACGAGCCCGTATATGAGGGTGCCGA